ATCATCAAACTTTTGATTTTTCAACCTTCTTGGACTTATGAAATCAGGATATATAATTCATAGATATGATTCATTGTGCTCATTTCAAATTGTTCCAAACTTTTGAATCATAAGAGAATTTCAGAACACTGGTTGCCCCACACGCAGTTCTCTTCAATCGTCCCGTCTATTCTAGGATTTGTTCTGTTAGTTTCCTTAGGGAAGGGCCAACCCAATCGCCCTCAGTTAGGGGTGTAAGCAAGCAAGCCCCTCATGAGTTAGTTGAAGCTCGGCTTGATAAATGGCTTGTGAGTTGAACTCGACTTAGTGACTAAAGAGACAACATTGGTCTTAGTGACTAAGGCTTCATTGGGGACGACTTTCTTGTTGCTTCTTAAAATAACTTTTTAGCATACAAATTTTAATTTTTATACTAAAAAATTACTTTAAGAAGAAAAAAAAAGCCGTCCCAAACAAAACATAAGTCTTCATTTGGGACAATTTTTTAATTGCTTCTTAAAACGGTTTTGTAATACCAACATAAAAATTTTTTTACGAAAAAATTACTTCAAGAAGCAATAAAAAAACCGTCCCAAATGAAGCCTAACTCAAATGAATGAATGATGCTATTGTTAAGTTTACAAATTCTACACCTTTTTCTTTAAGTTTTTGACAATGCTCCTTAGAGTAAGCCAGAATTAGCTTTGATAGAGTGTATTTTTCTTGCTAAGCATTTAGAAGCCAAATGATTTTAACATTCTCCAAAGCGAATCACCTCCATTACAGCTTGAGCTTCCTAAGGTAACTTGCCCTAAATCGATTCAATATTAATCCCGTCAATCATCATAAACCTTATCAAAATCAAATGAAATTCTGTACTGAAGCTCCATTTTTTCTACTGATGAAATAAGTAAATATATATATACAGAACTGAGTACTTGCACATAAGAGACCTACCATTATCTGTTTCATAACAATGATGCCATGCTACAAGCAAATATGCAGGCAAGGGTACATTTGGACTAGTATCCGGGGAATCATTCCATACTGGTTTCTAAAAAATACAATAGAAATACTTCTTCCAAAGTCAAAAAAGTGTAATGGATCCTCTTAAGAACTTTGGAAATGGCTCATGCAAGGAGTTTAGCCATTCGAAAGAATCTGGAAGAAGATTGATAAAAATAAGCGAAGCAACCCAACTTACATGGTCCCAGACACCCTCAAAATGGTGTCTGAAAATACCAATTTGAATATTTGTGTCAAGAATTGCAGATCACTTCAATGGCAGCCGACAAAGAACACCTGAAGTTAAGACTGCAAAAATCAACATGCTCTTTCAATTCTCAGTCTTTCTTGACCAGCACAAATAAGGGTGTGAGTGAAGAGGCACACTTGGGGCAATCCAATCGATTTTCTTTGGATGGTTCGAATTGAATATCCAAAAAATATATAAGAAATTTAGTCATCCAAAATGAATTTGGATATATTTGGATGCCACAATTGCACTTCAACAATTATCATAACAATTATAAGAGGATTTGGGCCCAATAATCAAATATTCAGGAATCGAACTGCAAACAAAATTATAGAAGTTTTACCTTGAGAAACATTGAATGACCGTTTGCGGCTAAAGATATCCTTTGGATCTAATTGCAGGTTGGTGAGAATGATTTCACCTAACCTCTCTCCTCTGCATTTACAGATATTAGGCCAATATTATTTACTTTCCAGAAAAAAAAAATCCCCATAAAGATATTAGAATACAATAACTGCAACAAGGAACTAGCTTTAACATAATATATATATATATACTCGCTATGCAAGCTTGAAGCAGCCAACTAAAAAGTGAGGTAAAGCTAAAGATAAAGGCGAAGCATTATAAACATTGTGACAACGAATTTGCACAAGCTTTGATGAAAATCTGGTTTAGTTGCCCAAAAGACTAAGTTTGCTTAAAAAGCCAAAAATTCTTGTAAGAATCCTGTGAAATCCCGTGAGTAGAATGAAATAAATCACTCAAATAATGAGGCTTCATTTGATATAATAGTTTCCATTTTATTAGAAACTTCTTAAGTTAAGCATGTTCATGCTAAGGCACACGTAGGATGAATGATCTCTTGGAAAGTTACGCTAAGACAACCATGAGACATTATGCCAAACAATTTATTGATGATTGAGAGTTTAGACTGTTACAAATAATATCATAGCAATAAATTAATTGGAAGAAAGAAATTAAGTGCTGTACAAAATAAAGTACTACATGGCACCCATCTCTTGAACCCTTGTTGGAAAAATTACTATATCTTGGGAGCCACCATTTGAATCTATATGGGCCACCTGTAAAATCCTATTTGTCTGGTGCAAGACTATGAGTTATATGTAAGCATACTGACGAGAATGATATTTAAGTAGGGGAGATTGTCAAACGCCTTAAGAGAAATGAAATTGAAGTATTAATCATTGATGCACCTTCTGGTGTACGGTTGGAATTACATCATAAAATCTTAAGTATGATCGTACGAGAGCACTCTTCGGATAGGTGACTCCTTGAAAATTTACATAAAGGAGACAAAACCTTGAGGCCGTTATGTCAAAGGAAGAATATCTCAAAGATTCAGAGTTGGCTTTTACAAGTATATGCTATCAAAAGAGAACATCAACTTTGAAAAGCGTATTTATTTTAAGTTGAACATTACAAATCTAAGGTTACCTTGCCCATAGCGGAATGTACTTTTTTTGCCTGCTATCTTCTTCCATGTCTTCGTCATCAGAGGTTTGGTATGGAGACATCTCATATGACTGCAATTCCAGAGATGTTTGTGTAGCAGAGACAGTTTCTTCTATTATTTCTCGTAAAACATTTGAGCGGCCAACTCCCTTAATAAAATAGAAAGAAAAGGATACAAATCAACAGAGTTCCTTTCAGGCTTCAAACAGAAATGTTGAAAAATGATCCAGAAATGTCAAAGACAAATGCATGCAAGAAAATAGGAAAGATTTTGACATGGCAATCAGGAGATGAAGGCCAGGCACATGCAAATAGAAATCCAATATATTAAAAGTGCCAATGATGACCATCAGAAATTAAATTTAAGCCTAATACTAAAGCTGACTGCACTGCAGACCATATAACAGAATGGACAATAATGGCTATCCACATATTATTTTAACTTTACCTTTGCAAAAGAAAAGTTCAACAACATGCATAATACTGAGAAATTGATTGTATTTCGGAAAATTTATAAATATATTAGCTAATAAGAGCTATCAGCATATAATTTTAACTTTACCTTTGAAAAGGAAAAGGATTCAAATTAAGCCTAATACTGAAAAGTGAAATTAAATGCACATCAGTTTTTTTATGAATAAACTAACCAACAATAGCCATCAACATATATTTTACAAAGTCTTACCTTTTCAAATGATTTGTGTTCACCAGAGGCCTCTAGAGCTTGACTCTTATCACCACCCAGAATGGTTTCAGTATTTGCAAGTTGGACGGTGCAATACTGCATTTCTTCCGCCATTTGACTTTCAGTAGCATTAACTCCTCTTTCCAATTTCTTTTGGCCACCATTCTTTCCTTGTTTTCCCCCTTTTTGTTTCTCATCCTGTGGGAATCACACATTTTATACAGGGAGAATAAGTCTAAGCAGCAAACAAAAAAGATGAACAATTATACCATGGCTTTCTGTTGAATATCTTTCTCAGCTTTCTCACAATGCAATTTGTCTCTGCCTTCTCTCTGCAGTGTCCTTGTTTCTTCAATGCATTGCCTTTTTCTATCCTTAACTTTTCTCTCTTCAGCCTCCCTTTGTCTCTTCTTTGCTGCAACATCTTCCTTCTTCCTCCTCTCTTCATCTTTTTTATTTTGTTTGAGTTTCAATAGTTTGGCATTTTCTTGCTTCAATTTTTCCCGCTCAAGTTTCACCGCTTCTTTTCTTTTCTCGCGTTCTATTTTCATCTGATCTTCAAGTCGCTTGGCAGCTTCAGCAGCTTCCAGGGCCTTAACTTTTATGTCTTTCTTCCCTGCAAGAACAAAAATAAGAGACAAAAATAAGAGACGACAAAATCTCAAAGTATACACAGTTGCTAAAAATGGCTGAAATAGTGAAATTGTACTACAATGCAAATAAACAAAATTAATTGCCTTATCATAAGTAAATCTAGTAAATTTTATGTAGAATTATCTATAGTTGAAGATGGTTGAATAATAAGCAGAACATTGAGGTATAAAGGACGCATCACTTTGGTTCAATTTTAAAAACCTTCATTTTGTTTCTCACATAAAAAAACAAAAAAGATAGAAACTATCATACAAGAAAATCACTCACTTTGTAAGGGAAGAGCTTGTTGCTTCTTTTGCTGAATTAGAGGAATTAATGAAGATATGCTGGATAGAATGTTGGATGGTTTGCACCCTTTTCTTATGTTTTGGCAGTTCTTAATTCTATCACTTGATCTACAAGATACCCTTGGCCTTTTAGACATTTTACGCACTGTTCTGGTAGATTTCTGAAGTTCTTTTATGGCATTTGAGTACAGAGGATTCTCTTTATTTGCCATGTTAGACTCTCTTCCAGCATATTCAAATCCAAGACTGGACATTTTACTCACTGTTCTGGTAGATTTCTGAAGTTCTTTTATCGCATTTGAGTACAGAGGATTCTCTTTATTTGCCATGTTAGACTCTCTTCCAGCATATTCAAATCCAAGACTGGATGCTATATCCGAGTTTACAGATTCCAGACTATCTCTCACCACAAATTCCTTCAAGTTGGAAAGAAAACAAGTGTCATTTTTATACAATGAAGTCACATCAGACAATGGTTTGCTATTTGTTGATACTTCAATATTTGTTGAAGTACCATGAGTAGAACAACCCAACTGAACAACATCCACATTTTCTTCAGTAGTGGGGGAATTTTCATCAATACGGAAACATGTATATTCAGTATTAGAACTAACTTTCACAGAACTTGAACTCCTTTTCCCAGATAGCCTTCCATGGCTGAATTTTATAGCTGGCGGGGTTAAAGGAATATTCTGCAACTCTGAACCACACCTAACACTTGAAGAGGATAGAGAATGTGAACTTTCAAAACCAGGTCCATCCAACTTTGATTCATTATTGCAAAACATATTTTCAAAAGCAGGTCCATCCATCAGCATAATGCTGGAACTTGCCGTAAAATGTTTTATGTCAGGATTATTATGCTCCAGAGAAATACCCATGTCCATGTTCTGGAATATGCCTAGAGGCGATGAGTTAAAACCATCTGAAATGATATCTAATCCGTTAATCATGGAAGCCTTAGACCTTGGGGTGAGAAGAATCATTGATTGGTGAAGCTGTTCGAGGACAAAAGCTCGTTCTTTTGCAAGACTGGGAATGTCAGCATCTTCGCAGACAATATTATCCTCTTCATGTGAAAGATCAAAGCTGAATCCCTCAATCTCGGCCATGGTATCACAAGGGGAATTAGCACCAACAGTTTCTCCTATACTAGTAACATCAAATCTGTATGATGCATCATATGGCTCTTCGCCCTCTTCAGATCCATCATGGTGACCGAGACTCTCTAAAGCTTCGTTTTCAAATGCATCCGCACCACACTGAGAAGTGTGATGAATTTCTGAATCAAATGACACTAGATTAGCCACTCTAAGTTTATCCTTTGAAGAGGCGCTAAGAATTTCTTCTACTATGTGGGGAGTGGTGGAAGCTCGCTCTTTTGCAAGGCTGAGCATGTCAGCATCTTTAAAGACAATAGTATCAACTAGTGTAAATGGAAGATCAATGTTAGAACCCTTAAAATAAAGCATGGTCTCATCACAACTGGGCTTAACACCAGCAATTTCTGATATAATAGCATCACAGCCGTCCGAAAGTTGTGTTGCATCATATGTTTCATTGTCCACTTCATAATCATCATGATGACCAATACTCAGGGAAGATTTTCTTTCAAATGTATCCACATGCGAAAATAATTTCTCAACACCATGAGAAGTCTGATGAATTTCTGATTCACATGGTATAAGGTTGGAGGTTCTGACTTTATCCCTGGAACAGCCACTAAGAATTTCTTCTACTGCATGTGGAGTAGCAGAAGCCCGTTCTTTTGGAAGGCTGGGAATGCCAGCTCCTTTGGAGAAATCAACCTCAACTGTATATGAATGGTCAATACTGGATCCATTAAAATCACGTATGTTCTCAGCACAAATAGACTTTACACAAGCAATATCTGATATACCAGTAATATCAAATCTGTTCAAATGTTGTGCGTCATCATATGGCTTCATGCCCTCTTCAGAAACATCATAGCGGACAAGAGTTTTACAAGCTTTGTTTTCTGATGTATCCACATTTGAAAATAACTTTACAGCGCCACAAGAAGTGTGACCAATTTGAGACTCAAATGGCTTAAGGCTGTTATGCCTAACTTCATCTACTGGGCAGACACTGAGAAATTCTTCTACTACACAGGGAGTAGTAGAAGGACGTTCTTTTACAAGGCTGGGAATTTCATCTTCTTTGCAGAAAATATGATCCTCTACCCCAAGGCTGGGAATTTCATCTTCTTTGCAGAAAATATGATCCTCTACCATATATGGAGGGTCAATGTTGGATCCTTTAAACTCAGTCATGGTCTCATCACAGCTGGGCTTAGCACCAGCAGAATCAGAGATACCAACAACATCACATCCGTACAAACATTGTACTGCATCAGATGGCTCTTCGCCTTCTTCAGATCCATCATGGCGAGCAACACTATCAGAAGCTTTATTTTCAAATACATCCACATATGAAAATGCTTTTTCAGTTCCCTGAGAAACGTGATCAATTTCAGATTCCAATGCTATAAGGTTATTAGATCTAACTTCATCGCTTGACCAGGCATTGTGAATTTCTTCTGCTGCCTGGGGACTCTTATTTTGTTTCTCCACAGTTGGTGCAATCACAAAATCATGGATACTTGATTTAAAATCAGAATCATCCTGCAATTAAAACTTTGGGTGTGGTCAACATCCAGAAAATTTAAGTTCATGATTTAGTAAAATGGATAGAACAACTAAATAGGAAAACAAAGTTTCTTGAATTTATAGATACCTAAAGATGATTTAATTTACATTGTTGGGTAAAGTTAAAAAAATACTATGTAGTAAAACAAATCTTCAATTTAATGTGAACTAAAAGCAACTCTATGGAAGATTACAACCAAGGTTGTGAAAACCGGGGACTGAAGAACGAATCGAAAGAAGGAGAGGTTCATGTTTTACTGGTTGAACATGATGATGTAATAAATAATAATATTATTAAAAATTAATAGAATTAAAATTTACATATATGATGTTATCATTCCTAATATGGAGCAAAGAATATAAACGAACTATTTTTAATAATTAAAAGATTTTTTTTAAATCTCGGATAGAGCAAAAATCATTCATAATTTAATAATCTTA